AACCCACTAGAAGGTAGGACTATCTCTTAGCCCGGATAACCTAGCCACTTATAGTCTCTGAGGACCCATGAGAGGGTTTCCTGCGGCTTGTGGTGAATTGACCCTTATCGCTCTTTTCCGGCCTCCGAGGCTTCAAGGTGATTCTCCAGTTACCGCATTTAGTGGCAATTCACTATCTGTAAGCCCTATTTGTTCCTGAAGGAACAATGAAGAGCTAGAAGCCTCTGCGTGCTTTAGATACCGCAGTTAGTGGGCCGGATTCGACCTATGAACAATACAAGTAAGTTCTCACCACAAACTAAGAGCTCCATGAAGAATGTGAACAAGGATAGGTACGCAAAGAAACGCTGATGATGGGGATCGGCCCCCATGTAGCCAACCGAATACAAGTGCACAAGGGCTGATACAATAACCACGGGAATTAGCAAGCTTACCGACAAGCTATCGTACTGCAACCCCCAAGATACCTGTAAGTATTCGCAGTCAACCCAGCTACCTAAACTTACAGACACTGTAGACCCAGCTAGAGCAACTTCATAATAACATACCAAAGCCCCAGCCGTGCTCACCAGCATACCTAAAGTAGTAATAACATGGCAACCCGATGACCCTAGCTTTCTGCCGAGTAGCCCTGAAGCTAAGCTCCCTAGCAACGGTAAAGAAATAATCGCAAGGTACATTAATAACTGTAATTCAGGCATCCTGAGTCTCTTAGTCTATTATGCTTCGATACGTAATCAAATCAAGGGATTTAACGAATCTGTTAGGCTTAGTACCCTGGCTCCGGACTATCCTTAGTGTAAGGACGCCAGGAGCCTCCTGGTTATAATTCTAAGGGTGGAGGGGGGTGGTAGGATAAAAGAGGAAAATTAAGCAAGATTGCCATCCCAAGAGACCATGTGGGCCATACCCCTCGAAAAGTGTACGATTTTTAATGTACTTGTAAAGAGTAGATCGAGCAACCCCTAAAATTTCAGAATACACCAGTCTCTTCTCTGAGTATTAAAGTGGCTAGAAGTGAGCTCTAGTCCGTAGGTGTGAACTACGTAGAGGTACACCGGTGTTCCGGTGTTAAAGCGAGGATTCTTTTCCCCTAGTCGGGCGGCACTCAATTTTGCCTTAGTTTCATCAGAGAGCTTCTTCCCATGATTAGGATTCCCTGCCCCCTTCAGAGCAGCCGACATCTTCGCCTTCGTTTCATCGGAGTGTTTCCGCCCCTTCATAGGTGAGGCCCGCCCATAATTAGGATTACCCTCTCATGGGTCCTCAGAGACTATAAGTGGCTAGGTTATCCGGGCTAAGAGATAGTCCTACCTTCTAGTGGGTT